GGAGATACTTTAGAAGAGTTAGAGTTTGGTGGTATCTGTGAAAATAGATTAAACAAGGGGACATTTGGAAGTTACTTCAAAGATGCAAAGTACATGTTTAAATTGATTGAAATGGAAAATTATTAAAACTATTCTTAAGATTATATTTGTGAAGAAAAATGTTAAATGGGAGTCACCAACTTAAATATTTAAATACGTTTTTGAGTTCATAAAAATAAACTCAGGCATTTTCATCTTATTTCTCAATTTCTTGTTACTGGGTTTCACAAACAAGGTTGAACAAAATATGCTTCGGTTAAGGCATCAGAGCAAGACTAAATTGTAATATTTGGACAATGATTCATTCATTTATTTCTGTGTTATGTATTTCATGTAAAATATGCATATTTTTAGGATTTGGTTAAAATGTCTAGAGCTTGATGTGGGCTGAGGGGATGAGTATGTTATCTAAAAGCAAAGCAGTCCTTCCAAATTTTTCATGTTGGAAATGCCAAAAAAGTATAGAATATTTAATACAGAAAGGCAAGCATGAGGAGGATTCTGAATGTTGACATCACATTCAGAATAACAAGAAATTAACCTCAGAAAAGGTTTCCCTGGTGGCTCAGACAAAAGAATTTGCCTGCAATGCCAGAGACCCAGGTTCGATCCCTGGGTCAGGAAGATGCCCTGGAGAGGGGAATGGCAACCCACTCCAGTATTCTTGCCTGGAGAATCCCGTGGATAGTGGAGCCTGGCAGGCTATAGTCCTTGGGGTTGCAAAAAGTCAGGACACGACTGAGCGAGTAGCACTTCACTTCAACTTCAGAAAGATTAGACAAAAAAAGAAAAAGAAACAGGTTGTGTTCTGTGCCTGAATGAGTTGTAGAATTATGTTATTCACCATAATGGAGATCAGATGTGCCTGCTTGGATTTATGGGGATGCACATTCAGATAATCAGACTCTCAAATGGTTCTATAATAGAGACATATGGTGGTTGAAAATGTCCTAATAATAGGAGGGTTGATATGGAAAAATGGCATTTCCATTTCTCTCTATGGAAAGATTATAAATTAACCTGATATTTTATATGTTTATGTTTGATTTGCTGCTATATTTTCTCTAATAGTGTCATGCAAAACTGTTCTTACCTCCTTAAAATAATGTTTATGTATATATGATCATATGGAAATGTTAATTGGACCTATTATGGTGACTGTATTTCTAAAATTAATGTAGTGTTATATGTTAATTATACCTAAAAAAAAAAAAAGATTGTTGTCACAATTAGCTGGGTTGATGTGTATAATATTCATGGCACAGTGCCTGACCAAGGATGGGCAATCAGTTAACTATTCATCAAATGACTGTTTTCACCCAGGTATAAAGAGAGGCTTAAAGGGGTGTCCCATAGAAAAGTGAATGATGTTAGGTATGAAATCTAGATGAATTTGTTTTATATGCTTCTCTTTCACAAGGCAGTTTTGTTCTAATCAAACCTCAAGAGAATAAGGGCAGAAAAATCTTAAAGCAATCCTTTTCAAATTTTACCTGCATACAGATCACCCAGGGGTCATTTTAAAACGCAAGTCACAATTTATGGGTGGGAACTGAGAGACTGCATTTCTAGCAAACTCCAGATTGTGCATATGCCACCAGCTGTCCGCTGAATACACCTTAGCACAGTCCTTGAGCAGTGGAGTACATGGCTACTGAAGAAATACTGTACTTAAACCCATATTCGTCTAGTCCGACCTTCAGTTAACTAGAACAGTAACTTCAGGTTAGTTAATTTATCTGTTTACGTAGCAGAAGATTATTTCATGTCTACTAGGTGCCTGGTGCTCTTTGGGTTCTAAGTATAATATAATGAGCAAGGCAGTTAAAAATCATGCCCTTATCAAGCTCGTACTCTAGAAGCAGGATCAGATACTAGATATGTAAACAATTCATTACAATAGTTTCTAGTGAAATTAGAAAATGAGGCTTTAAATTATTAGACTTGCTCACTAGTGAGTAAGACTCACTAAAATGAAAATAAAATGAAGCTACTATGAAATTGTATCTGGCCAGTCCCTGATAGCTCAATTGGTAAAGAATCCTCCTGCAATGCAGGAGGCCTCGGTTCAATTCCTGGGTTGGGAAGATCCCCTGGAGAAGGGAAAGGCTACCCACTCCTGTATTCTGGCCTGGAGAATTCCAAGGACTGTATTCTGTGGTGTCGCAAAGAGTCAGACACGACTGAGCAACTTTCACTTTCAAGGTTCTCCTCGCAAGGAGACAACTGAACTGAAACCTGCATTGTGAGAAGCAGTCTACTGTGTGGAGATCTGAAAGATTCATGAAAAGCAAAGAGCAAAAATGAGGCAACAGTGAGATTGGCCTGTAGGAGAAAGAGGAAAAAGGCCACTGTGGCTAGGACATAATACTGGTATTTGGATGCAAGACTGAGATGGGCAATCAGGAGCCATTACGGGCAAACAGGCAGGGTCACACTTGACAAAGCTCGGGGGGCTAGGGAGGAGGAAACTAAACGCTGAAATCTTGGTGGTCGGCTCCAAAGCGGATCTTTAGGGCTCCACAGAGGGTTAAGGACACTCTAGAAGGAACGTAACTACAGGAAAATATGTTAATATATAACTAAACCAAAAATGATGAGTGAAAAAGAGCCAACATAAGATGTGGGACACAAGTTGAAAAAAAAGCATTCAAAAAGCAAAAAAGGTTATATCTCTTAGGTTTATACTATGAAAGAAAATGAAGTCAAAGTGTTGGTTACTCAGTTTTGTCCAGTTCTTTGCGACCCCATAGTCTGTAGTCCACCAGGCTCCTCTGTCCCTGGGATTTCCCAGGCAAGAGTACTGGAGTGGGTTGCCATTTCCTCCTCCAGGGGATCTTCCCGACCCAGAGATCAAACCTGGGTCTCCTGCATTGTATGCAAATTCTTTACTGCTTGAGACACCAGGGAACTCAGAGTTATGCTTATGCAACAGAAATATATTACTTATGTCATCCAAATTAATGTAATAACACACAGGTAGCAGTCTCTCCTCAAATGCTACAGAATGAATTCAATTTTTCTGAGTAGAAATGATTAGGTAACTATTATAGAAAACAAAGCTGTAGCCCCAAACTTGCCTTACATTTTACAGACTATTAGAAACAAAAGTGGATGAAAGTAGATGAAACAATAAAAGATAGCAACAAGGAAACTAAAACATATGCAAGTCACTCTTTGCACTAACAAAAAAAGTCTAGTAAACACAAGAGTCATCATTGTTAAATTATAAAATATTACATGCCTTGTACTAACAATTTTCGTACTCTTACCATATAATATATCATGTCCTTTATTGGGATATAAGCCTAACTCAAAAGAGATCTCACAGATCAGAGTAACTAAAGGAGAATGAATAATGTAATGATGACTCAGCTTCATTTTAGTGAGTTTTACTAGTGAGCAAGTCTAATAATTTAAAACCTTGCAAACTAGTGATTGTTAACATGTAAGTGCATTATAATTGACTTTTGATTTTGCCTGATGAATATGTTATTTTTTTAAAACATTCTTTTTTTTTCTTTCCATTTATTTTTATTAGTTGGAGGCTAATTACTTTACAATATTGTAGTGGTTTTTGCCATACATTGGCATGAATCAGCCATGGATTTACATGTGTTCCCCATCCTGATCCCCCCTCCCGCCTCCCTCTCCATCCCATCCCTCTGGGTCTTCCCAGTGCACCAGCCCTGAGCACTTAGAGCATTTCCAATTGACTTCTGATTTTTTGTCTTGTTTTTCAAATACATGAATAAACCACTGTCCATTAAAACGATCCTCCTAATCCTCCATCAGTGACAAAGCTGAGTTGTTTGCTTGTAATAATGAACAAAGGCAAGATTAGTCACCTTTTCTCATCTGAATGCATAATGCCTTAAAGCACACATTTCTGATATACTCATCCAGAATTATGGATATATTCTGTGGAAAAATAGCAGATTAATTTTGCTTGTTTGTATATTATTTTCCCCTGTTTGAATCACCTCATTAGCTCCTCCGCTTACCAGCTATGCAACAGAGTTCAGACTTTTTTCATACTGTATTTTGATCATTTATTTGTAATTATTCTAGATTTCTTTGGCATTTATTAACAGCAACAATATTTTCTTTCTCATTTGCCTTTTGTATATCTCACTTCACTCACTCAAAAAAACACCAAATAAGTGCCAGACTCTAGGGCTTTGGGGTAACAGGAAGAGTGAAGTGAGATGAAGCTAGAAAAGGAAGCAAGAGCCACGTGGTTTGAAGTCTTATAAACTTTTGAGAAATCTAGCCTTTATCTTAAGAGCAAAAGGAAACTACTGAAGAGTTTTAAGCACTGGAGTGGCAACATCTTACTTCTGCTATTTGCATACCTTGTTTTTTTTACCCCCTTACCAAATGGGATTGCTTTAGCCAGTGGTTTTATAATGCTGTCCTACTATTTATGCTTCCCGTCTATTTCCAGGTAACAAAGTCATCTTTAAATGAAAGAGAAAGGTTGCTAGGTGTACAAAAATAAATTCCCTGGGAGACACAAGAGTTTACAAATAGCAACGATGAGTTGGTTTCATGAAAACAAATGGTGCATGCTATGGATAGAATCATTATTTGTGAATGATGGCTCATCTCCAACAATTAAATAAAGGGGGTAGACATATTTCACTAATGTTCTTTATTGCAGAGATTAATATCTATAAACATCATTTCCTAGGCAGGTATTACAGCATAAAATACTTGAAGCAATGTGTTTGATAATAAAAAGGCCTCATTTGGGGATCTATCTGTTTATTCATTCCTGGTATTCTTTTAACATCTGGCTGTAATAGACAGTGACTCTTTTTTTTGGTTTGTTTGTTTTTTGGCTTTTAACAGAGAACAAAAGGAAAGTAAGCTAATTAATTCTGGTGCCCATCTGGTTTCAATTGCTCATTTTACATTATTTTAAAATGATGGACTGTTGGTGATGATGTCTTCCCCAGGAGAAGAAGTTGACAGACAGCTGTGCAGAGACGCCATCTTCCCCATCCCTGTTGCCTGCGATGTGCCCTGCCCCAAGGACTGCGTGCTCAGCATGTGGTCAGCGTGGTCCTCCTGCTCTCACACCTGCTCAGGAAAAACTACAGAAGGAAAACAGATGCGAGCACGGTCCATCCTGGCCTATGCAGGAGAGGAAGGTAAGGTTACCAGCTTCAGAAGGGACTCGGATCTCTTCCAGAAGCTGGTGTGCCTTTCATTATGTGTACAGCCCAGATACAGTGATAGTTCCACAAAAATCAGCTTCCTGAAACTCAGCAAACCAAGGAGATTTAATATCTGGTGACATATTAGGCAGCTTGCTCCTGTTCCTTAATATTAACCTTGAACATAGATCTTCAGCAAAAGAGAAAAGACTGAAAAGTGAATTCACTTTTCCTTTCCTCGCTTTTCATAGCTCAGGTTCTTTCTACTTCAAAGTGTTACACTTGTGGAGAAATCTGAAAATGACTCCTGAAATTCCGAATGTCAGGTTTCATTGTTTTCTCTCTATTTCAGTAGTCAGTTTTCCCCAGTGAAATCCTGTTCTACCTTCTCATAAATACTAAACTTTATTTAAAATAATCGCCACCATGACTATTGCTTGACTGAAAATGACATGGATTTTCCACCATTCAGGTTTCTGAACATAGGCCCTGAGTCTCATATGTAGATTGTGTTCACTTTTAAAATATGTTGCTCCTAAATCACTTCATGCTATTGGGTGAGTAAAGCACAAGCTTTTCATATATTCATACCATGCAAGCCCCATTGTCAAGAAATACAAGGCTCTTGGTAATTATCTCTCAAGTTTGTATCTGAATGCTAATTTGGCCTCTGTGTGACTGGGTGATATAATGTCATACTTAATCTTGTCATTCTGGAAAATAACACAGGGGTAAGGAAAACACAGAAATAAGTCAAGTTCTGTCACATGTCGCATGTTCTGTCTCAAGAATATAGGCATATGTTATTTAAATATTATCAGGCTGAATGACTATTTTCATTCACATTTAACACTAGTTGATGATTTCTATTTGTAGTAAGCACATGTTTCTTTATGTATACCCCCAGTTAATCAATTTTAGAAGAGTTTTCACATTGCCCATTTCATTTTTCTGTTTATGAACCATTTTAATGATAGAAATCTGCTAGTGTTCTTTTTTTAATCAAATTTGCTTTCTTTGTATGTGATTCTGTGCAAAAATATAAGGCCAAAAATATGTTGGCCTTAAGGCATAGGAGAAAATTTAACATATTTAAAATAGTCAACCTATGAGAACATTTAGAATTTTTTAAGTGTCCAAACACTTTTTTCTTGTCACCTCAATATAAATGTAATTTTTTTCTACCAAAATAAGAATGTATCTGTGGAACCCAATAGAAAAAAATAGAACCTTTCCAAGAAAAAATTATATTCCTTATGTTGTCAAACAATAACTCTAACCTTGTATAGATCATATTCAGACTTCACACTCTATCAGCTCGAATTATGTCTTGGGCTTCATTAAAATTAAATCTGTGGTCACCCTGCTTCCTGTAAATCCATTATACTCTGCAGACACTTGCTGTGTGACTAGTAATGAGTGACTTTTCGCCCCAGGAGTCACATGGCTGAGATTCTGCCATGCTTGCAGAACTCACCAGATCATTATTTCCGTAGACATGATGCTTCACACTGAAAGGTCATGAAATGCTTTAAAGGCAGGAATTTATGACTGCTCTTTGGTATGTATCATCTGCTTAGTTTGAAAGGATGGGACTTGGGTAGTTTTTAATGAAGGCTAACAGCTGCATCATAAGAAACACATGCTGGAGAATTATAAATGTGTAAATAGTTAATCATAAAGGTGAGGTGAAAGTTGCTCAGTTGTGTCCAACTCCTTGAGACCCCATGGACTATACAGTCCATGAAATTCTCCAGGCTGGAATACTGGAGAGGTAGCCTTTCTCTTCTCCAGGGGATCTCCCCAACCCAGGGATCCAACCCAGGTCTCCCACATTGCAGGCGAATTCTTTACCAGCTGAGCCACAAGGGAAGCCCGTGAACTCAAAACATCATTTTAAGTGGAAACTAGAGGAGATTCAGTCAATGGGGAATCTGCTGTTATTTGTCTCTGTTAATAACAGCTACAGAAACTGGTATCATTATGTGAAATATTTAATAAAGGATTTGTCTTTCAAAGACAATTTAATACCTGTTATTTGCTTGACACTGAAACACATTTTCTTTCCTTCAAAATAAGTCTTTTCTAATTCTGAAAATATTTTTTAAATGATTTAGAAACTAATTTGCAGGAAGTTTTAAAATACGTTTCCCTGCCAATTAGATAGCATTTTTATAATTTGGCACAAAAGCAATTTTTTCTATTATTCCCCCAAAATTAATACTTGTATGTGTCACGTGCGCATGTATCTAAGTCGTTTCAGTTGTTTCTGACTGCAACACTGTGGCCCATAGACCGCCAGGCAAGAGTACTGCAGTGGGCTGCCATAGCCACCTCCAAGAGATGTTCCCGACCCAAGAATCGAACGTCTCCATCATTAGCAGATGGGTTCTTTACTGCTAGTGCTATCTGGGAAGCCTGATCTTCTTAATTATCTGTGGATCAGAATATTACTGTGATAACCTTAAGAGTAAAGATCACATTAATAAAATTATATATTGATTGTTTAGACATGAAATTAAATGATTTTCTGGTGAAATAACTTACAGGACAAGTCCATGTGCAAAGCATTTATCTGATTTTACAAAATAAATACTGTAACCTATTCATTTGTACTTTATCTCAGTAAAATGTCACCATTATACATTATACTGGAGATTATATAAACTCTGTATTGATGAAGTCAAAGTTGTACTGCAGTAAGCCCATAAATTCAGTAACTAAATAGAACAATTATTTTTCCCTCTTGGGAATTTTTCTACAGCGACAGGTAACTCTCCATGACAGTCTGTCCTCCATGAAATGTCTCAGCATTACACCTCGGTATGAAAGCCTACCTCACAATCTTCATGCCAGAGGAAGAAAACAGCTGGGGACTCTTACCTGTTTTAAAAGAGTCAGCAATTAAATTCTTTCATCCAGAGTGATTTATATCATTTCAGTTGACATTTCATTATCAAAGCAGGTCAAATAATCATGACTTGGATTTGAACCTAATTTCATCAGGGGCAGGGGAAATACATTTCTACTGTGTGCTGGAAAGAAAGGCATGCTGGCTACTGATCTTACCCCTGGTTTATCAGTCTTCTTTTGTATATGTATCTGTGTATCTACCTCTATGTCTGTATGTATCTATATCCATGTGGGTACATATAAGTGTGTGAGATAGAGGAGTATTCCATAGGACCCCAATGAACTAGACACACTCTCCACTGTTAAAATGTTATGACTCATTATTTCCTTATTCCTGTTAAAAGAATGGTAAAATAATAGAGTAGAACTTTCCTTTATCTCATGCTATACTTTCTTTTCCCTTTCCTTCCTGTCCTTTCTAGTCTCTTTAGCTCCCTTCATTAATAATTTTATCTGCAAAGTTATTAAGTGGAGCCAAACAGTTGAGCATCTATGCCAGCAGGTGGGCAGGAGGGGGGTCTGTAGTGATCCAGGGCGGGTTGTCAGAGCCCAGCCTGAGTGAGATGGGCATCCCCAGTGAGAAAAGGGCGGCCTGACCTGAAGTGTCTGAGACACTGAGAAGTCTAAACGGAGGGACACATGGATTGCACAAGAGTAAAAGCAGTGACCCAACACAGGATGCCAGGGCAAAAGCAGGATGCAGAGGGAATCCCAGCATTGAGGAAACAGCCCAGTGCGGGGTGTCGGAGCCAAGCAGGGTTGAGGAGGTTTCAGTAATGTGGAGTGGTTGAATGCAGGTGTCAGAGTATGAGCAGGCTGATGACGATGGCCCATGGGTAGAGCAGTGAAGATGGCAGTGGGAGACTGGGGAGGGGGGTTGGTTGACCAAATAGGTACATGTATTAAACATAATAGTTGGGTTTCTTATTGCTAAAGAAGGGAGTTTTGAATATGTTAAGAAAGAAAACTAGGGTAAACCTTGTTGTATTATATTGGAATTTGAAGTTATCAGTGTGAATGCATGCTGTTCAATTTGTAAATCTAGACATAAAAGTGAAAGTGCAGTCACTCAGTCGTGTCCAACTCTTTGCAACCCTGTGGACTGTACAGCCCATGGAATTCTCTAGGCCAGAATACAGGAGTGGGTAGCCTTTCCCTTTTCCAGGAGATCTTCCCAACCCAGGGATCAAACCCAGGTCTCCCGCCTTGCAGGCGGATTCTTTACCATCTGAGCCCCAGGGAAACCCAAGAATGCTGGAGTGGGTAGCCTTCTCCAGGGGATTTTCCCAACCCAGAAATTGAAGCGGGGTCTCCTACATTGCAGGTGAATTCTTTACCAATTGAGCTATCAAGGAAGTCTTAGACATAAAAATACATAAAATTCACATATAAGTATGATATATATTCATATTATAGACATATACATGTGTTAGCTCTGTTCACTGAAATGACATGAGAGCAGTCAGTGCATTTAGCGCTGAGACCTTGATGTCTATTACCATTCTCCTATGAAAGGAGCCAGGGCTTCTTGGAGAAATAGCTGATTCTAGGGCTGGGATAGCAAAAGTACAAGATGTGCCTGGAGGATCTTGTGCCAGAAAGAAAAGAAGAGGAAAATATTTCAAAAGGTCACACTACTGTATATATAAAATAGATAACTAATAAGGACCTACCATATAGCATAGAGAACTCTATTCAATATTCTGTAATAATCTATATGTGAAAAGAATCTGGAAAAAAGTGGATATACACACACACACATATATATTACTGAATCACTTTGCTTTATACCTGAAGCTAACACAACATTGTTAACCAACTCTACTCCAATATAAAATAAAAGTGAAATTTAAAAAAGGTCAGGGAAGCTAGCTTGAAGAGTTTCCCACTGGCCACATGCAAGAGCAATGTGAATGCAAATTAACAATAATAGCTATTTATATACATTAACTAAGATAGGAAACCATGAATCCATACTTGATATAAATAAATTAATTGAAAGTCTGATGAAGAGCATTATATTTACAATCTTAAGTATCCTTATAATGAAGAAGTTTGACAGACACTATGTTAATTCAGTA